CATGGATCCCTGAATTCTCTCTGAGAATCCTTTGTGAACTCGAGGCTAAAAACCTCTGCTTTACAGTATAGCACTATCTGATAGAGAGTGTGGGCTATTCTTGATTTTTTTTGTGCTTTAATATAAAAATAATTATTGTTAGGGTTTTTTTAACCATAGAAAAATTTTATTTTTCATTCTAATTTTTTTATTGTTGTTCACTTACCGTTGTCCCCATTTCCCCCCATTACTCTCCCCTGCCTTACCCATCCCCCATCTTCAACTTTCAATCTGCTCCCCTCCCCCCGCCCCTGCTGTCTTTGTCCATGGGCCCTTTATACATGTTCCTCGACTTGACCCTTCCCCTTCTTTCCCCTATAATCCTCCTTCCCCCTCCACCCTCCCCTCTGGTCACTGTCAGTTTGTTCTTTATTTCCACATCTCTGGTTCTATTTTGTTTGCTTGTTTGTTTTGTTGATTAGGTTCCACTTATAGGTGAGATCATATGGTATGTATCTTTTACTTCCTGGCTTATTTCACTTAGTATAATCTTCTCAAGACCCATTCATGCTGTCATGAAGGGTATGAGTTTCTTTCTCCTGCGTAGTATTCCATTGTGTAAATCATACCACAGTTTTTTGATCCGCTCATGTACTGATGGACACTTAAGTTGCTTCCAGCACTTGGCTATTGTAAATAATGCTGCTATGAACATTGGGGTGCATAGGTTCTTTTGAATTGGTGTTTCAGGATTGTTAGGGTATAACCCTAAAGTGGAATTGCCAGGTCAAAAGGCAGTTACATTTTCAGTTTTTTGAGGAAATTCCATACTGCTTTCCACAGTGGCTGCAGCAGTCTGCGTTCCCACCAACAGTGCACTAGGGTTCCCTTTTCTCCACATCCTCACCAGCACTTGTTTGTTGATTTGATTATGATGGCCATTCTGACTGGGGTGAAATGGTATCTCATTGTGTTTTTACTCTGCATCTCTCTGATGGCTAAATGATCCTGAGCATCCTTTCATATGTCTCTGGGCTCTCCGTATGTCCTCTTTGGAGAGGTGTCTGTTTAGGTCCTTTCCCCATTTTTAAATTGGATTGTTTGTCTTCCTGGTGTGGAGTCATGTGAGTTCTTTATATATTTTGGAGATCAAACCCTTGTCCAAGGTATCATTGGCAAATGCATTTTCCCATATGGTTGGTACCCTTTTCATTTTGCTGATGGTTTCTTTAGCCATGCAGAAGCTTTTTAATTTGATGCAGTCCCATTTGTTTATTCTTTCCTTTATATCCTATCCCTAGGAGATATATCGGTGAAGGTATTGCTGCATGGACTATCTGACATTTTCCTGCCTATGTTCTCCTGTAGGACTTTTATGGTGTCATGACTTATATTTAAGTCTTTTATCCATCTTGAGTTTATTTTTGTGTATAGTGTAAGTTAGTGGTCGCATTTCTTTCTTTCTTTTTTTTTTCTGCATGTAGCTGTCTAGATCTCCCCACACCATTTGTTGAAGAGGCAATTTTTACTCCATTTTATGCTTCTGCCCCCTTTGTCAAATATTAATTGACCATAGAGACATGGGTTCATTTCTGGGCTCTCTGTCCTGTTCCATTGGTCTGTGTGTCTGTTCTTATGCCAGTTCCAGGCTGTTCTGATTACTGTGGCCTCGGTTATTGTTGGTGGTGTTGATTGCAATTACATGGAGTATATAAATTAATTTGAAAAAAGACATCTTTACAATATCGTGTATTTCAATCATTTCATTATATATTTCCATTTAGATCTTTCATTTTCTCAATATTTTTTATAGTTTTTCTGCAAGGATTTCTTAAATATAACTTATTAGGTTCATTCCCAGGTACTTGATCATTTTTATGCTATTATAAATGATCCCTTAAACATTTTGTTTTCTGTTTGTTGCTGAAACAGAAACAATTGTGTGTGAAAACACAATTGATTTTGAATCCTGTAAACTAGCTGAATTTATTCTACACACACAGTTATTGCATTTGTGAATGATGAGTTTGTATCTCTTTTCAAGCCCTATGTGTGTTTATGTTGATTGCCTTGCTGCACTAATTAAGGCATCCGGTACATTGTTAAATGGAAGTGGTGAGTGTAGCAGCATCCTTCATCCGTGACTTTTTCTGTGTTCTAGTGAAAGCTTTTCTACTTTTCACTATTAAACACGGTGTTCAGTGTAGGTTTCTTGTAGTTACATTTTTACAGGTTAAGGAAGTTCTCTTCTATTCCTAGTGTGTCAATTGTCTTTTTATCATGGCTGGATGTTGATTTTATCAACTACTGTTAATCTGTTGAGATGATCACATGATTTTTTTCTTCTTTAATTTATGGATGTAGTAAATTACATTGATTACATTTTCTAATGTCAACCCAGTCTCAGAATGAAGGTTCCAACTCGGCTGCTCATCAGTATCACACAAACAAAAAGTCTCTTTCAAAGTCAAAATTGTGGCAAATGTTATTTTAAAGTTTTAGGAATGTAGAAAACTGCGTCCCTAGTTTTTTGTTTCGTATTTTATTAAAATCAAAAAATAAAACAGCACCGATAAAGTTGATGTCCCCTTTCTCCCTGTTAGCAATCTCATTCCCTTCTCTTCTTTGGGAAGCTTTTCTCATCTCAGTAATTGGCACATTTATTTTTTAAAGTTAATTGCTTTTCAACCTAGGACAAAATTCAAAAGCAACAGAAGTTAAATCCCTCCATGTGTGTTCCCAGCTGCCTATTTCCTTTTCCCAGAGGCAGCCGCCAACACTGGTTTCCATGTGTCCTTCTAGAGAGTGCCGACGTTTGTACAAATGTCGATGTGGCCTTAGTTTTTTTCTTCCCATGGTAGTGGCAGACTCTCCCGGCTGTTCTCCACTCAGCTGAGTGAGTTTAACAAGATGTGTTGGGAATAGTTCCATTTCACTGCAAACAGTTCTACCCTGAATAGTGTCATATTATACTGCTGTATGATTATTATTTTTTAAGATTTTATTTATTTATATTTAGAGAGAGGGGAAAGGAGGGAGAGAAACATCAATATGGGATTGCCTCCTGTGCGCCCCCATCTGGGGACTTGGCCTGCAACCCAGGCATGTGCCCTGACTGGGAATCGAACCAGTGACCCTTTGGTTTGTAGGCCAGTGCTCAACCCACAGAGTCACACCAACCAGGGCAAAATTACATATTTTTAGAAGTTGATAATTACCACAAATATCCAAATATCCAAATACCACAGTATTTTTATTAATCAACTGCCTGCTGTTTCTGTAGAATACGTACATTTTACTCTAGTGAGCTCACCCCAATTTTTAATAAACACCCAGTAAAATTTACTTTTTCCTTATTGTGCAGTTCTATGAGTTTAGGCAAACGTATAGTTGTATAACCAACCCCAAGACAGCAAACAATCCCATCCCCCAAATACTCCTTCATGCGGCCCCTTTTGTAGGCAAACCCTCCTCCCACCCAACCCCTGGCACCCACTGCAGTTTTCTCCACCCACACCCACTCAGGCAGACTTTCTGAGGGTGGATTCTCTACCGAAGGTCATAAGGGCTTCCCCAAATGATTCTCATCTGAGTCAGGTCTGAGTACCGCTGCCCAAGATCATTGCTTCTTAAGTGACAGGACCTTGCCCTGTGCCTCTGGAGTAGGCTGTGTCATGGTGAGAGCAGTGGGTGGTCGGAGGCCTCAGGGAGCTACTGGTAATAACTAAACATTTCCCCAGTGTTTGCTGTGTGACAGGCACCGTGCTAAGCAGCTAACTTGTTATCTCACTCTTGCCAGCAGTCCCACAAGGTAAACGCATTGTTCCCATTTCACAGACAGGGACACTGAGGCTAGAGACAGAGATTAAGTAATTTGCTTAAGATCACACAGCCAGGAAATGGGGCCGAGATTTGGCCCAGGCAGGCCAGCTGCAGTGTTCGTGCTCCTCACCCCTGTACTATATCTGGCCCCCAAAAGAGCAGTTACCTGCCTACCCCCACGACCCCCTAGCCCAGCAGTGTGGCCAGCACCCATGTTGGCTCTCGTGTCCTCAGAAGTGTCTCCTAATTCAACTTCTTGTTTGGGACATAGGTGCTCCTGAAGCAAGGATGATTCAGGAGGGGCGAAGGGGGCAGAATGCTGAGTGAGCCCAGCCACTGGGGCAGCGGTTTCTGTCTTGCTGACGCCTCCTTTCCTCCCTCTGCCCTGGACACAGCCTCCTCTGTTTCTCTCCACCTGGTCTCCTGTTTCCTCCTCTGACCTTGGAGTGCCTGGCTCCCCTGACTACCTCTTCTTAGCTCCCACCTGTTCTCTGTCTCGCCTCTGCTTGGTAAGAGGGCCCCGGGGCCCTGGGATCTTGGCGAGGGGAGAGGACTCCTGGTCTGGAGCACAGGCGCCGTGAGGGGTGGGTCCCACCACTCTCCTTCCCCCTGGGGGAGGCCTATAGCATTTAAAAAATATCCTCCAAAAGGTAGAAGGTAAATCAACCTGGGATTCTCAGCCAGAGGTGCTTATACTCCTTAGCTGGGCATTTGGAATCAGGGGCTGTTGTATAAAACTTTAACTGAATTATACTATGCATATAGAAAAGTGCACCGACCATAAGCTTGGTATTCACAAGGTGGATGTCCCCAGGTATCTGGTACCGGAGCGAGAGGTAGGACATGAGTAGCATCGCAGAAAGCTCCTCTTCAGGTTGTCTTCTAGTCACCACCCCTGGCAGGGGGTTTGGGAGGGAGCATTTTGGGGGTATTACAGTGAAGTAGGGGTTCCGCTGACAGTGGGCAGGGTCCTGCGATGCTAAAGGTCCTGTGATACATGGGACAGACCTGCGCACAGAATCGTCCTGCCCACGTGCCCTGTTGAGAAGTACCTTGCCCGACAGCTCCGAGCCGCAGCGGCCTGCATCGAGGCAAAGACAGATGCCTTAGGCCTGGGAAACAGGGCTGCCGCTGTGCCTGTGGGGCTGGATGAGGAGGGAGCTTCACTGTAACGTGTCCGCACTGTCGTCACCCCGCAGGCCTCCGGAACGCCCCCCGGTGCTGGGCAGTGATCCAGCCCCTGCTGTGTGCTGTGTACATGCCCAAGTGTGAGAACGACCGGGTGGAGCTGCCCAGCCGCACCCTCTGCCAAGCCACCCGAGGCCCTTGTGCCATCGTGGAGAGGGAGCGGGGCTGGCCCGAATTCCTGCGCTGCACCCCTGACCACTTCCCGGAGGGCTGCCCGGTGAGTGCCCTGTGGGGCGAGGGGCTGCTCAGGACCGGGCGTAGGGCCGGCCTGGCGGGACAGGAGACCGGGGTGCCCAGAGCCTCCCCTCCTGGGGGACCCCACGTCAGCAGCCACGGCTCAACAGCCCACAGATGCCAACTGAAGCTTGTAAGCTGGGCCCACGCACCAGTGCCATCCTTTTATTTTGTCTTTTAATAAAAAGATAAGTGCGTGCGACACATACGTTTTGAGCACCAGCTGTGTCGGGTGTTAGGGAGGTATGGCTGTCACAGACGACAGGAACCTATCCCGATGACATTTGCTGTGTATTTAGGGAGTCAAGGCACAGGTAAAACAGCCGGAGACACTGAGACGGAATGCGTTCTAGTCCTGGGTGACAAAAGAGAGCCATGAGTGACGACTCTCTTTCATCATCATCTCTTTCATCACTATTATCAATAGTGATGATAATAATGAGGGTAGTAACACTACTGTTACGGTTTACTACCTGCCAAATGCTATTGGAGCATTTTATATCTCTTTATCCATTTACCCCGTAAGCCCCACCATGAAGTAGGTGCGTGGGTCACAAGCTGTTGAGTCAGCTCCGACCCCTGGTGACCCCAGGGATGAGTGACGTGCATGACGTCCTGTCCTCCCTCACCAGCCCCGCTCCGCTGCTGCTGCGCACTCGTGCCTGCAGCTTCTTTCACGGAGTCAGTCCACCTCATGCTTGGTCTTCCCTTTCCCTGCTGCCTCCCATCTTTCCCAGCATTAATGCCTTTTCCAAAGCACCCTGCCTTCTCACGATGCGCCCCAAATAGGGCGGCTTCAGTTTCGTCCTTGTTGCTTCCAGCGCTGTTTCAGGCTTGTTGGCTCTGGGGCCCACGTGATCATCTTGTTGGTGGTCCAGGGCACCCCCAGAGCTCTCCTCCAACCCCATATTCATTCCAAATGCATCCTTTCCCCACTGGGGAAACTGTGGTGACAGAGAAGTGAGATAGTTTGCCACAGGCTGTCTCCAGCGTCTGTGCCCTCAGCCACTCCCCCATGCTACCCCTGCGCCCCTCACTGAACCCAAGGTCTCCCTGAGCCTCCCGCTCCCTTTTGTACCATCCTCCTCTTCCCTTGTGCCAGAATGAGGTGCAGAACATCAAGTTCAACAGCTCGGGCCAGTGTGAGGCTCCCTTGGTTCGGACCGACAACCCCAAGAGCTGGTACGAAGACGTGGAGGGCTGCGGGATCCAGTGCCAGAACCCGCTCTTCACCGAGGCGGAGCACCGGGACATGCACAGCTACATCGCGGCCTTCGGCGCGGTCACGGGGCTGTGCACGCTCTTCACCCTGGTCAGCCGAGGGCCCGGGACACTCAGCCTGCAGAGGGGGAAGGGAGCGGACTGTCAGAGAGAGAGGCTGGGCTCTGGGGCAGGGAGGGAGGCGGGGAGAGGACGACTTGGGGGGGCTGGGGAGGGTCACGGCGGGGTCATAAGGGCGTCTGTAGGGGCAAAATAACCCCAGGCTCGTGAGACGGACCCCACTTCTCTCTTCCAGGCCACTTTCGTGGCTGACTGGCGCAATTCCAACCGCTACCCCGCGGTTATTCTCTTCTACGTCAACGCGTGTTTCTTTGTGGGCAGCATTGGCTGGCTGGCCCAGTTCATGGACGGCGCCCGCCGCGAGATCGTCTGCCGTGCGGATGGCACCATGAGGCTTGGGGAGCCCACGTAGGTGTCTTGGGGACCCAGAGGTGAGGGGAGGAAGGCTGGAATGCGTGTTTACCGCAAAAGGGGTTTCAGGGTAGGATTCGGGCCTGCCTTTTTGCACCCAGGGTCTTGCAGGGGTGTCAAACCTTTTGGCGTCTCTGGGACACACTGGAAGAAGAAGAGTTGTCCTGGGGCCACACATTAAATACACAAACACTAACGAAAACAAAAAAGTTTCACCGTGTTCTAAGTAAATTTACAGTTTTGTGCTGGGCCCCGTTCAGAGCCATCCTGGGCTGCATGTGGCCCATGGGCCGCGGGTTGGACACCCCTGGAAGGACCTTGGTTTCAGTATTAGGACCTTGACTGTTTGCATCTGTTTGAAGGGGCATCTTCTGCATCCTCTTTAAATCTGCCTGGGTCCTGGTTTCAAGCCCTGACTCCTAGGGAACCACCAGACCTGAGAGATGGGTGTAGAGACAGGGTGGAGAGAACTGGTAGAGGGAATACAGAATGACCTCCCGGAGTGACACCCCACATGCCTGTGCAGCTCCAACGAGACCCTGTCCTGTGTCATCATCTTCGTCATTGTATACTACGCCCTGATGGCTGGTGTCGTCTGGTTTGTGGTCCTCACCTACGCCTGGCACACCTCCTTCAAAGCCCTGGGCACTACCTACCAGCCGCTCTCCGGCAAGACCTCCTACTTCCACCTGCTCACCTGGTCACTCCCTTTTGTCCTCACTGTGGCCATCCTCGCTGTGGCCCAGGTATAGTAACTGGTAGGGGACTGGGGTCCTGAGTGGGATGGACTTGGAAGAGGGGGCCAGTGACCAAATCTGTCCCACCACCCCTTCTGGCTGTAGGTGGACGGGGACTCCGTGAGCGGCATCTGTTTTGTGGGCTACAAGAACTACCGATACCGCGCTGGCTTCGTGCTGGCCCCGATTGGCCTGGTGCTCATTGTGGGCGGTTACTTCCTCATCCGCGGTGAGTGAGGGCCGGACCAGGACCAGGACCAGGGCACCAAAACAGGCTGAGAACCAGCTCTGTGAAAGTAGGAGCTGGGCACCGCCAGCTCTGCTGCCTTCGCAGGGGGATCCGGGCCGGGCCACACTGGGTCTTGTCTGCCTAGCCGGGGCCCCTTCCAGGCACACACAGAACCTGAGGCACCCGATGTGGGACAACACCTTTGTGTTGGTCTGAAAAATGCACCCCTTTTTTTCAGAGCCTTGATCCACATTCACAGCTTGTTAAGTGGGACCCAGACTGGTTCCAGTCTCCCCTCAGCCCTTGGCCAGGTGCACTCGGTGGTGGGTTGCCTGCTCTGTCCACGTGGACCAGTTTGGGGACTTTGGTGTAGTGTGCTCCCTCTAAATTTGTATATGCCCTTGTGTTTGGGAGCCTGATTTCCCATCGCCCTCCTGCCCACAACACACGCGCACACACAGTTGTCACAATATGCACAGATCCTCTGGTCCCTAATTTCCCCATCTCAGTCTGTCACCTCCACCTCCGCCTTCCTATCTTCTTTGCTCATTTTGGTTGCTTCTTTGTGTAAATTTCAGTTTCCTCCCTCCACAGAAAGTCAACCTTCTGTTCAGCCCACTTCTTTCCTCTCTTTTTGGCAGCGTCTGGGCCCCCGGTTTGTGTTTTGTGTCCGTGCTGTCCTGTTTGGTGGCCACTTGCCACATGTGTTGAAACTAGCCCAGATCAAGACGTGTCGTCAGTGTAAAATACACACTGCGTTTCAAAGACATAGCACACTCGCTAATAAGCTGTAGTAGGGACTACGCGTTGAAATGATAATATAATAAACAGTGGTATACTGCTTATAAAATACACTGAAATTAGTTTCATTCGTGTCTTTTTACTCTTTTAATGTGGCTTCTAGAAAATTTGAGATTAGGTGCGTGGCTTATGCTATATTTCTATTGGACAACACTGTTCTCAAGTCTCTCTTCACGCCTTTTCCAGAGAACAGCTTTGACCTGGCCGCCTTACGTCAGGGCGGCCGGGCCAGACCCAGCGTGCCCTCTCCTCTCTATGTCCATCTGTGCTCTGCCCCAGTCTTTCCCGTCCACAGCACAGAGTATCATCTCCCCACTAATGTCTGAGGTGTCCCTTCTGTCCAGGAGTCATGACTCTGTTCTCCATCAAGAGCAACCACCCTGGGCTATTGAGCGAGAAGGCTGCCAGCAAGATCAACGAGACCATGCTGCGCCTGGGTGAGTGGGTGCTACCCAGCCCAACACTGCACCCTCCTGCAGCTGTGGGACCTGCAGGATAGGGTCTTGGAGGGTGTCGTAAGTCAGTGGCACAAGTTAGCAGTCATGGGGCAAGACAAGGCTGTGTGTGTGTGTGTGTGTGTGTGTGTGTGTGTGTATGTATGTGTGTGTGGTGGTAGCAGCTTGAAAGAAGGGGACCTTCTCAGGTGGAAGAATTCAAGTTCATGCCAAGACTGCTTCTTTGTGCCCGCTTCCCTCCCACCCGGGCCTCCCACGGCTGCCTCAAATGCCCTCCTGCCTCGTTTTGGAGACTGTAGTTCTTGAAGCGAGCCTAGTGTGAATTCAGCCCAGACTCAGCCGTCTTTCGGGCCCTCCTCCCCACAGCTGCTCCCACACTGGGATTGGTAACGCCTTGCCCACCCCTGGCCCTCCGCAGGCATTTTTGGCTTCCTGGCCTTTGGCTTTGTCCTCATCACCTTCAGCTGCCACTTCTACGACTTCTTCAACCAGGCTGAGTGGGAGCGAAGCTTCCGGGACTACGTGCTGTGAGTGCAGGACGGGGGCTCGGGGACTTGGGGGAGCCAGAGCCGGCACCGCAGGGACATCCTGCCTGTGCTGTCCCGCAGGAATCTGCCTCTCTTGCTCTGGGTGCCCAGGATGTCAATCGCCCTGTTATCTGCCAACATAGCAAATAGCCCTCAAGTCCCCGATCAACTCTGCACCCCCATGGCTGTCTGGCGGTGGTGTTTGTAACTGTTAAGAAGCCACCTTGTGTTTCGGCTTCTCTGGCCGACTCTGTTAGCTGCAGGAGTTGCTCTCTCCAATGCTCACGCCTACTCTTTTTTAGAGCTTATTGGAGAGCCCTGCCCAGAAGTAGTTGCTCTCTGTGATGAGTTAATAGCCTGGTAATGCCTGCTGAGTTGCCTGTGTTTTTGTGTCACCATGAGGACCAATCAGAGAGTGAGGCATCTCAGCTGTTAAAAGACTCCAGGAGCAGCCGTTAAAATGCTTGTTAAAATGACTGCCAGTCCACATCAACTCCTTCAAGGCTCCAGCTTGCAGTGCGGGAAGCTCTAAACCACACGGATGCCTGGGTCTCTCCCCGGGGTTTTGATTTAATTGTCTGGGGTGTGGCCCAGACATCAGTAGTTATGAAAAGCTCTCAGGTGACTCTAATGAGCACTCACGGTTGTGAATCGGCGCCAATTGTCTGGGTACCCACCCAGGATACCCATCTACCACCCCTCGCTGTAGGTGCCAGGCCAATGTCACCATCGGGCTGCCCACCAAGAAGCCCATCCCTGACTGTGAGATCAAGAACCGCCCTAGCCTCTTGGTGGAGAAGATCAATCTGTTTGCCATGTTTGGAACTGGCATCGCCATGAGCACCTGGGTCTGGACCAAGGCCACGCTGCTCATCTGGAGACGCACCTGGTGCAGGTGGGGTCAGCAAAAAGCCCGTTCTGACTCTGAGGCCCTAGTCTCTCCACCTTAGGTGTCCCTATCATTAAGCTTTGTCAGGTCCCAAGTCTCCCGGCACAGCCTGGGGCGGGTGTCCTTTCTGAGCCTCTGCAGTTACTCCAAGCTGACTTCTCTGTGGCTCACTACTGCCCCCTGGTGACGCCCCCTGTTCTTGGGAGCCCTGGCTAGGGGCTGAACCCACTGCCAGCATCTTTTAAGAGTGGCGTGATTTGAGACCTGGGCACACAGGAGCCCTGCAGTCTAGGCCCCCGTCTTTGCAGAGCAGGCCTCCACTTCTCAGAGTCCTTGAGGACTCCAGGCCCTCTGGAGGCCCTGCCCTGCAGGAGTTGGATTCCGTGGTCTCTCACAAGACTTGATGGGAAGTGGCTGCTCCTCCTCTCTCCCTCCCTCGCCCCTGCTGCTCTCAGGTTGACGGGACAGAGTGATGATGAGCCCAAACGCATCAAGAAGAGCAAGATGATCGCCAAGGCCTTCTCCAAGCGGCGCGAGCTGCTGCAGAACCCAGGCCAGGAGCTCTCCTTCAGCATGCACACCGTGTCCCACGACGGGCCTGTGGGTAAGCTGCGGCCCCTGGCCTCTCCTGGAGCCACTTAACGCCAGCAGCTCTGTGCCCCGTTCCTCCCCGGGCCGGTGTGGACACGGGACTGTTCAGAAGGCCATGAGGACTGCAGGGCTGCCGCCTCTCCTCACAGTCGTTCTTTTCCAGTCCACCGCCATCCCAGCGACTCTCCCCTCTCTCTCTCTGCCCCGGTTTCAGTAGTCTTTTGTTTCCCAGAGGACTCATCTCCCTTCCCCTTCTCCTGTCTTCTCCAGCTCTTCTCCCTGGACTAGAGTAAGTCAGGCTTTCAGGAACTAGATTTCTGGCCTCTAGTGAGGTCTCGCTCTTATTCTGGGTGCCCAAGATGTCAGTTGCACTGTAATTTGGGAATGGGTAGAGATCACTGTGATTTCTGGGGTGGGGTTTTCTGTGCAAGGTGGCGGGGGAGCCATAGGTGGGGGAAGGTGAACGCATGGTGCTGAATGAAGGAGAAATGATTGACTGCAGGGAACGGGGCTGTCTCTATTCCTTGCCCCTTCCTTCCATTTCTACAGCGGGTTTGGCCTTCGACCTCAATGAGCCCTCCGCTGATGTGTCCTCTGCCTGGGCCCAGCACGTCACCAAGATGGTGGCTCGGAGAGGAGCCATACTGCCCCAGGATGTGTCTGTCACCCCTGTGGCAACCCCAGGTATGGGGTTCGGGTTTCTGTAGGAAGGTAAGGGACATAGAGGCTGGGGGCTACTGGGACCGTAGTACCAGGAGCTACCAGAAAACAAGAGGGGAGGGAAGCTGTGAAAGATCTAAAGTGTGGGGCTGAGGCTCCAGAGGTCTAGAGTGATGGGTCCCAGAGCTTGGGGGTCTGAGAACGGTGATGTGGACAGAGTCAGGATCCCAGGCTCATGTTCTCTCTCCCACCACCAGTGCCCCCAGAGGAAAAAGCCAACCTGTGGCTGGTTGAGGCAGAGATCTCCCCAGAGCTGGAGAAGCGCCTGGGCCGTAAGAAGAAGCGGAGGAAGAGGAAGAAGGAGGTGTGCCCGCTGGTGCCACCCCCAGAGCTTCACCACCCCGCCCCGGCCTCCGCCTCCAGTGCTGTTCCCAGGCTGCCGCAGCTGCCCCGCCAGAAGTGCCTGGTGGCTGCAGGTGCCTGGGGTGCTGGGGACTCCTGCCGACAGAGAGCCTGGACCCTGGTCTCCAACCCCTTCTGCCCAGAGCCCAGTCCCCTGCAGGACCCATTTCTACCCGGCGGCCCAGCCCCCATGGCCTGGGCTCAGGGCCGCCGGCAGGGCCTGGGGCCCATTCACTCCCGCACCAACCTGATGGAGGCAGAGCTCATGGATGCGGACTCAGACTTCTGAGCCAGGAGACCAGGACCTGGGACAGTAAATAGCAACAAAGAACATTCTGAGGCTCCTCTTCCTCCCTAAGAGTCCTTCCCCAGGGTTTCTTCTTCCAGAGAACCTGAGGGCTGGTGCCCTCCCAGGAGGGTTCTCTAGGTCTGGCTCGTGGTAGAACTGTGGGGAAGAGCCCCAGTAGAACCGTGGGTGGGCCTTGCCCAGGGAACAGCGCTGAGCTCCAGGGCCCCGGTTTCCACCCCACCAGCCGGAGTCTAACTGGCAGCCCCAGTCTGCAGCAATGTCACAGGGTGTGCAGAGTCTCTGGTGGCGCAGTAATGGCAGAGGTAGGAGCAACAGTACCCGGAGTGGGCCGTGGCGGCCAGGAGGCAGCCAAACCCATGTCTGGCAAATAAGGGCTGCCCTTCTCTGTACTAACGGGTGCCCTTTCCTGGCACCCTCAGACCAAAAATGTTTATTGTGTCATTAGGCCTTTGTCTACTTGGGAACAAGGCTCCCTTCTCCTTCTTTCAGGCAGTTGTGGGGCTGGGTGCATATTCCCATAGGGGCTGTAACCTCTCCTCCCAGATGTCCAGCCGGCCCCACCCCAGGCCAACAACCCAGCCCATGTCCTCCCGCACCCTCCTGCCCTCCCTCCCTTTCCCATTTCAGTTCAACCAAGCCAACCTCCTCCTGTTTCCTGGTTGTTGGTTAGGACCCAGAAGTGCAGCCTTCATCCCATGCTCATCCCCTACCTGTGTTGCTGGGCTCCATCTCCAAGCAGGAGATCGGTGCAGCTACAGAGCCCGGCGTGGTGTAGAGGCAGTGAGTGGCAGGAGCCTCGTTATCTCTCCCTGTACCCACCCAGTGGGGGATGGATCCCCTGACTTAAAGGGCTACCCTGGGAAGCTGCTGGGGCTTCAGGCAGGCAAGGAAAGCTTCCTTCAAATTCCGCAACTACTGGAGGAAGAGATTTCCAACCTCTTGAAGGCCCCTTCCATGTGTCCAAGGCCCCGGCTTCAAGAACCAGGCAGCGGTTAGCCCGAGGAGCTGACTGGGTTCCAGAGGGGAGACAGGGCTGGGGAGAAGAAATATAAACAGTAAATAAAAGGTTTTTATATAAACTCTTGGCCCCCTTCTTTTCCAAAGGCCCTAGACTCCACCTAACTATTTAACAGGCCCTGATCTCATCTGTCTTCTACTTCCTCCTCAGGCTACTATGAAAGGCCAAGGGCTCGAGCACTAATGAGGTCATGACGGTCAGATCTCTGGCTGATGTTGGCTTCATGTGCTGGCCGCCCTTCCTGACTAGTTGGTTCTATACAGACAAAAACTCTTCTGTGGCCACAGCTGCCTCGCTGCGCACTGAGCTTAGATGATTAAAAACACACACAGGTGGGCAGAGGGGATTGTGCTAAAAAGAAAAAGGAAAAACTGGACACAGAAAACAGCATGGTGATTGCGGGGGGTGGAGGGAGGGGGTTATGGGGGGATAAATGGTGATGGTCGGACACCTCACTTGGGGTGGTGAACACACAGTACAGTGTACAGCGTATGTGCTGTAGAACTGTGCACCCCAAACCTGTGTAATTTTGTTTACCAGTGTCACCCCCATTAATTCAATGAAAAGGGGAAAAAACCCACAGCTTGCCCTTGGAGTGATGGTTGGAAGCAGGCATCCCCCTGGTAGTGTAGATGAGAATGGCTCCTCGTGCCAACCCTGGGCCCCACCTCTGGGCGTCTCTTGCCTTCTATAAGGGATGTCAGGGGGACCGAATGCATTCCGATGCATAGGTTCCTCCCCTGGGCAGTCAAAGGAATTCAGACTTCCCTGAAAGAAGCCTGTTAGCCCCACTTCCTCCCAAAAGATGTCAGTAGAAGCCTGGGAACTGAGTTGCAAGGACTCGGAATCATGTGGAAAGGAAATCAGTAGAAGAAAAGGGGTGCGACCCTCACACAGGGAGGGTATTGTGGAATATCGACCAGACTGGTTGGGAGTAGCTCCTGTGATGGGTTGCAAGCATTTCGCCCAGAGCCATATTGCAGGGGAAGGGGAACTAACTTCACGGATCTGACCATAGTCTCCGTACTTTACGTGTATATTACTAAAATAATAGTACCAGCTAACTCTTACTGAATGCTTGCTAGGCTTTCTGCCAAGTACTTCACACGGATTAACTTCAATCTCACAATGAACCTTTGGGGCACTGTTAACACCCCCAAGGTGCCGAGACAGAAAGTTTCAATAGTTTGCCCAAGGTCATGCTGTAAGTAGTGATGCTCGGATCTTATTTCAGCTCTGGCTCCAGAGTTGGCTCTGGGGCGTTATGTTCTGCTTCTTGATTAATTCAGGGGGATCAGAGGAGCTAGTTTTTTTGTTTGTCTGTCCGTCTGTTTGTAAAAACAAGCTCAGTGAATCAGAATGACTTGCCCACAGCCTCCCAGCTAGTACGTGACACTGTGCCCAAGGTCTTCCTGACTCTGAGTCCCAACTCTTTTCACTCTCAGTTCTGACTGTTGATTTGTCTTTCTATCCGGGTTTCCTGTGCTGTTCCTTCTGGCCACCCTGTATCCCTCGCTTACCTTGCTCATTCTGGCCATCACTGCTTCTCTCAGCAGTAATGTAGCTACTTTTTTCATCTTTATTAACAACGGCATTCAAAACAATAACATTTATCAGTGTTGTCTAGTGATCTTTTCAGAAATAAGAGAATATGTTAACAATTTTCTTTCCTTTCTTCATCTCCATGGACATTCCCTCCATCCCTTTTTTTAAGTGTGAATATTTACATAAAGGCCGGGTGGGAGGAATGGTATGTAGGGGGAGCTCATTTTAGGCTTTCAAAAGCTGAGACGTGTTTTTATGTCTGGCTGTGGAGGCTGACAGACTCCCTGACCACTAGAGGGCACAGTGGGCCCACCTTTTGTGAGTGCGGACATTAGATTGTGGCAGCTGGAGGTCCAGTACCACACTTCCCCCCAAACCAAGAAATCTTAAAGTATTTTTATAAGAGCACCAGATCATATGACTGAACCATAGGGGCCACTTTCTGACCAAAGCTACTGAATTAGGTCCCCAGAAGGAACACCTCAGGGTCCAAGAGGAGCTTGGTTCAAGGGACTGAGTCCCTGTGGCCCGGCTGCTGCCCTGAGAACAGGTCTCCACGCGTTCACTGCTCTGGCAGGCTCTTACCACCATTCTCGCCCCGTCAAAACCGAGCTCAAGCTCGGATTCAATGGTCCATCTTCCTACACGGTGCAGCCGCCTGCGCTTGTCGGTCCCAACTTCTTTTAAGCAGTTTCTCCACTGCTCCATCCCTTCCTGTGCCTGAGCTTTTTTTTTCTTTTAAAAAATATTTTTAAATATATTGTACTGATCGTGCTATTACAATTGTCCCATTTCCCCCGCTTAATTCCCCTCTGTCCTGAATCCCCTGTCACCCACATTCCCCCTTTAGTTCATGTTCATGGGTCGCACATAATAAGTTATTTGGTTTCTACATTTTCTTTACTATTCCTAACTGCCCCCTGTCTACTTTCTACCTACCATTTACGCTACTTATTCTCTGTACCTTCCCCCCATTCTCCCTCTCCCACGTCCCCCCTGATAACCCTCCATGTGATCTCCATTTCTGTGATCCTGTTCCTGTTCTAGTTGTTTGCTTAGTTCATTTTTGTTTTTGTTATTTTATGTTTGGTTGTTCATAACTGTGAGTTTGTCGTTATTTTACTGTTCATATTTTTTATCATCTTTTTCTTAGATAAGTCCCTTTAACATTTCATATAATAAGGGTTTGGTGATGATAAACTCCTTTAACGTTACCTTCTCTGGGAAGCACTTTATCTGCCCTTCCATTCTAAATGATAGCTTTGCTGGTTATAGTAATCTTCAATGTAGGTCCCTGCTTTTCATGAATTCAAATACTTCTTTTCAGCCCTTTCTTGACTGCAAGGTTTCTTTTGAGAAATCAGCTGATAGTTTTATGGGCACTCCTTTGTAAGTAGTTCTCTCCTTTCCTCAGGCTGCTTTTAAGATTCTCTCCTTATTTTTCATCTTGGGTGATGTAATTATGATGTGCCTTGGTGTGTTCCTCTTTGGGTCCACCTTCTTTGGGACTCTCTGAGCGTCCTGGATTTCCTTAAAGTCTATTTTCTTTGCTAGATTGGGGAAGTTCTCCTTCATTATTTTTTCAAATAAGTTTTCAATTTCTTGTTCTTCCTCTTCTCCTTCTGGCACCCTTAATGACTGATGTTGGAATGTTTAAAGTTGTCCTGGTGGTTCCTAAGCCTCTCTTCATTTTTTTTGAATTCTTGTTTCTTCATTGTCTTCTGGTTGAATGTTTCTTTCTTCCTTCTGGTCCAAACCGTTGACCTGAGTCTAAGTTTCCTTCCCATCACTGTTGGTTCCCTGTACATTTTCCTTTATTTCACTTTTCATAGCCTTCATTTTTTCCTCTAATTTGTGACCATATTTATCCTGTGAGCATCCTGATTACCAGTGTTTTGAACTCTGCATCTGATAGATTGGCTATCTCTTCGTTGCTTAGTTGTATTTTTTCTGGAGCTTTGATCTGTTCTTTCATTTAGGTCATGTTTTTTTTTGTCCCAGCACACCTGTTACATAGTAAGGGGCGGAGCCTTAGGTATTCACCTGGGTAAGGCAACTCATGTCACTGCGTCTTGGCACTGTATGTTGGGGAGGGGTCCGAGAGGAAACAATGCCACTTGCTCTGTTCTCTGCCAACTTTCAGTCACTTCCCCTGCTACCCACAAAAAAATTGGGCCCTTCTGGTGCTGATTCCTGAGTGGGTGGGTTTGTGTGTGTTCTAGGACCCTATGGGTCTCTCCAACAAACTCTCCTGTGAAGCTGGGAGTTTCTCCCACCACCTCAAACCCCACAGTTTTTTTTTTCAGTCAGAGGTTTTGAGGCTTTATTTCCCCATGCTGGAACCCAGGGTTGTGCAGTCTGTCTCACTCCCCAGTTGTTCCTCCTGGTTTATCTGCACACAAATGTGGGACCACCCACTCCACCAGCCACCACCTTCCTGAGAGTCTTCTTTGCCCAGCGGCCTGTCTCCATCCCTTCTACCGGTCTGGATGAATGTTTCTTCTGTAACTACCTTGGTTGTTGTACTTCCATGCAGTTCAATTTTCTGGCAGTTCTGGTTGTTTTTTGTTCTTAAATTTGTTTTTGTCCTTCTTTTGGTTGTGTGAAGAGGCACAGTGTGTCTACCTATGCCTCCATCTTGGCTGGAAGTCTAAAAATATTTTTTATTTATTTTTAGAGAGATGGGAAAGGAGGAAGAAAGAGAGGGAGAACAACATCATGTGTGGTTGCCTCTCACATGCCCCCAGGTGGGGACCTAGCTTGAAACCCAGGCATGTGCCCTGACTGGGAATTGAACTGGGGATCTTTTGGTTCACAGGTTGGTACTCAATCCACTGAGCCACACCAGCCAGGGCTTCTTTTTAATCTAAGAAGTTAAGAGATATATGAAAAAGCACAAAGAACAACCTAAACACTCATATTCCCATAACAACTTTTAAAATCATTTGATCATATTTGCCTCCACACTATTTTATTTTATTATTTAAAGATTTTATTTATTTATCTTTAGAGGGGAAGGGGAGGAGAGAGGGAGAGAAACATCAATGTATGGTTGCCTTTTGTGCATCCCCTGCTGGGAACTGGCCTGCAGGGAACCAGCCTGCAACCCAGGCATGTGCCCTGACTGGGAATCGAACTGCGATTGTCTGGTTCGCAGGCCCGTGCTCAATCCACTGAGCTACACCAGCCAGGGCTCCACACTATTTTAAAAAACTAAAGTATAACAGATATAGCTAAAGTCCTCTTTGACCAATACCCTGTCCCATTTTTCCTCCCACCCTCTACTTCCTTGACAAAAAAACCCAAAAAAACCTGTTTGAGTTCAGTGGGTTTCCTTCCAGTCCCTTATTATTATACTTTTATATACAGTGTGGGGTAAAACTAGGTTTACAGTTATTCCTATGGAAAATAATAATTAATAAATAATAATACAAGAATAAACTGTTTTGCCCACTCACAACTGTAAACCTACTTCCCAATATAGAGAATACAGATTT